TGGTTCGTCAATGTTTCGAAGGATTTTGGACAGGAGTGACTGGATTCATTGGAGGTTGGAACGCGTGGTTCGATCACACAGTTGAGAGGTTTGATTTGTTGTCAAGTAGTCTTTTGAGTAGTTTGTATTGCTTGTTCAATTTTATTCTGAGTCGAGTATGCGGGTTTCAAGTAAGTCTTTTGTCGTTGTAAGGTCCCACATAGTTGACGACATTGGTTTCTAGGAGAGGAACAGAGTTGTAGTAGATTGCAAGAGAGGTGGTATGTCAGAGGATGAAGATTATTTTCTGGGATTAAATTTTTTAAACGTTTTCAAAGATTTTGCTAAAAGCTTGGATGTGACGGAGGGAGGTGCTGAGAGGTCTCCCCTGAACATAATAGATACACGCGCGAAGTCAATGGAGTTTATATAAAAGAGAAGTACAAAAAAAGATAAAATTATCACTCGAAAGTTGAAGACTAAGTACAAAAAAAGATAAAATTATCACTCGAAAGTTGAAGACTATCTTCAAATCAGAAGTAATCATGAAGAATATGATTTCACACTCTGATGACTTTAACCTGTAAACCTTTGCTTGTTGTAAAAATCCGGAACGATGTAAATCCGAAGTCTCTAGAACGTAGTAAAATAAAGTATGCCGAATATTTCCAGAACATGAAGGAAAAGCCAAGTAAAGACCAAATTTAAAGTTGAAGTGCAAGCAGCAAAGAAACCAAACTTGAATTACTGCTGCAACTGATCTGTTGAACTTAAGGAAGTTCCTAGAAGAAAATAGAAGAAAAGAACTATAAAATAACATTTGGGTTCATAATCCATTTCGTGGTAGTTATGCTTCACAGTTGGAGGCCTATGAGAGTTCTTCTTCCTGTAAATCCTGCTTTAGATGGCAGTGTTCTGTCTGCAAGTCTGTTAATACACTGTTTAGACGAAGTGTGTTATTTATTTTAAAGTGTTATTTTAAGTCAATTTGCTAATACCAAAAGCAATAGTTGGGCTATTTCAAAGATCCATTCGTAGACAAATCTAAGCAGTATAAGTATAAATAAAGTAAAAGTATAGAAATACTTTGATTGAATATAAAAAAGTATTTATATTGTATAAATTCACTTTTTTCCACATCCTACATGTTTTTGTTAAATTTAAACAATGTTTGTAAATCTCAGGCCCTGAAGATGATCTCAATAAAGATCGAAACGTTGGCACTTTAAAGAAAAGGCCCTAACCATCCCTAAATGTTTTTCTGAAACCTACATCACACCAGACCGCATCTCACGATTTCAGAATAATTATAGAAATAAATGAAAACATAACAATATGGTGTCCTGTACTCTCAAAACGCACAATACTTCTCTTTATGAGAATAAGATTCCTCCTTCTCGGCAGATCCAAAGTACTTGGGACTGCACATACATGCTCACATATGATGCTCATGAGATATGTCACAAAGATTGACATGGATTACGCTACGTAATATTGCAGAATTTTACTTGTAAAAAAAACACTTTTCAGGTTTTCTAGCTGTATGTGCTTATGGACTGGAACTGTACTGGCTTGCTAAAAAACCAAATCCTAACAGTGTTCATTCCGTCCAGCCAAAACTCCTCCGCAAGACAATTTTTTCTTTGTTGGCCACCATACCACTCCGTATCTTATCTTACGCATCCGTATTCTTTGTGCTACTCACCAAGCCAAATCCCGAAACCACAAATTCAACACCCAAATTATTCCTTTGTTCCAACTCATCGGTGATCTTTCCAGTTTTACACTACAAATCAAACCCGCAGGAATCGTGACCAACTGCACACATAAAGCCATCGTAATACTGTCGAAGAGGCTGACTAATTAGTCATCAATGGGTGGCTCACGCCTTTATCACGCCATAGGTGTATTTTTCTTTCATGTAAACTATCTGCTTATTGCATAAATCGATGCAGTTGTAGATAAATAATAAAAACCTGGCTTTATTTGTCGTATTTTGTTATTCAAGTTGCAGTTTATTTATTTCTGGACCTTTTTTTTGTTGTAAGAAATGTATTTGTCTTCTTAATTATATTCTAGAGGGTGTGTCATTGCACCCCACTATCAAAATTTTTCCAATTTTGATTCATAAGCTCATACAGCTTGTATTTCTACCATTAAACAAATGATTCGATCGGAACAGATCTGAAAATTATCAGCCGGATATGATGAGTGAGAAGGCACGTCATTGGCAAAATATGAGGCGTTGTCTTTGAAATTTCTAGAAAATTTCTAACCGACACTGTCTGAATTTAGTTATGTATCACTGCGTTACTTTGAAATTTTCTGGTAGTGATTCTCAAATACCTCGACATCCGGTGCTTCTTCCCGATTGAAGTTTTAAGTTAATCAACTTGGGATTTCCCGTTCATCTTCAAGAGAGAAATCTTTAAATCCGGCAATCCAGTCTCGCTAATGTAAAAATAACAAATCATTCTTCATCTACGTGAAAGTAGGATTCTGATCAATTCAACTTACTTGAAGAACTGATTAAAAAATACCATAATTGAAACTAACTAAGCAATCGTAATAAGATAATATAGAACAATTCATATTAATAGACATAATAATAAAGTTTTGACTTTGTTTATTTTATTATTAAAATATATATATAAGCAAGGGGCAAAAACCCTCATTTCAACCCTGCATTGCGGGTTCTGTTTTGTAGTATTCTTAAATACAAATTATTTTTTTAATGAAAAAATTCATTTCTTTGTAAATTTGTTAAACACGAACAACTTATTAAGATGACATTTCAGCAGTTCATTTCGTGTAATTTATAGTTTGAAAATTGTTATCGTTTGTTTTGGAATGTTTCTTGTTGGTTATGCGCATACCGACCGTTAGGAAACGAGGGCAAGTTCAAGTTAATCAGCTTCGAAACTAGTTTTTTAAAAACGAAGTTCAAAACAGTGATTAAACGACGTCAAAAAACGGGAGCTTTTGCGGTTCTGGTAATCCTATATTACAGTTAATTACACATCTAACTGTACCAATCGAATTAGACGGCTTGCAAAATTAAGCGAACAATTTTTTGTAGCCACAGTTAGTTTGAGAGCTTTGTATGACGAGAGTGCCAAAATTTAATTTTGGAATATTCTCTGATAAATGTTTAAAATAGATTGAAGTTAATCAATATTGATCTGTTGTGGCAGTCGTTCAGGAAGAAATGTGCCGTTTTAACGCAGACCGCATAGCGAGGTTAAACGGACCAATATAATTCTCGTCTCTTCGCACCGCCAAGTACAACTGTTTCAACCAAAAATTTCAAGGGTTAAACAAATCGTTATAATTTTCTGTTTATAATATCTGCTGCTAAAATTAAATATTTTGATAGTTTGTTACGTGTTGATTGTCTTAGTTTTTTTCACGTTTTCAATGTTTAAACTTTTCTGTAATAATAATAGATATATCGATTTTCAGTACAAACGAAAACGATTGAATTACTGAGTTTTTACAAGATTTATGCTTAATATAATAATTCGGTTTAAAAGTTAGGCCAAAATTGTTGTAGTACTTTCTAAAAAAATATAATTCCCGAGGTTTTGGAAGATTCATTGTTAAATAATCACTGGCAAATCTTGAAAATAAATTCGGTTTAAAAGTTTGGCCAAAATTATTGTCGTACTTCCTAAAAAATATATATTTTCAGAGTTTTTAGAAAATTTATTGTTAAATAATTACTGGCAAATCTTGAAAATAAATTCGGTTTAAAAGTTTGGCCATATATTTTCAGAGTTTTTAGAAAATTTATTGTTAAATAATTACTGGCAAATCTTGAAAATAAATTCGGTTTAAAAGTTTGGCCAAAATTGTTGACGTACTTCCTAAAAAAATACAATTCCCGAGTTTTTAAAATATTTATTCGTAGGGGCGTCGGTGGCCGCAACGGTTTAGGCGTTGACACGGCGCTCATCATTGTAAGGTAAAGGTCCTGGGTTCGAATCCAGCGGCCCTGCATTCGAACCCGACATACTTACAAATGAGCTTTTTTTCAAAAACACCGGCACCCCGAGGGTTGATATAACCTCTGCTGTTGCGAACCCTCGTAAAATAAAAATAAAAAAATAAAAAAATATTTATTGTTAAATAATCACTGGTAAATCTTGAAAATAAATTCGGTTTAAAAGTTTGGCCAAAATTGTTGTCGTACTTCCTAAAAAAATATAATTTCACTTTTTAGAAGATTTATTGTTAAATAATTACTGGCAAATCTTGAAAATAAATTCGGTTTAAAAGTTTGGCCAAAATTTTTGCTGTACTTCCGGACTAGCTGGCACACCGAGAATGGACATACCACGTTAATTTTCATCGACTGTTCAAATCCGCAAAGCACAAACCGGAAATTGCTGGAACCAAAATCCACAAATTTCTGTCAATTATCTAAAAAAAATTTGCTACGAAAAATTCAAATCGTATTTTTTTGGAAGAACAACGGAAGTTTTTATATTCAGGGAACAACGATACTGGAATATGATTCGTAATAATTAAATTTTAATTATTTAGGACTAGCAAAATACGCGAAAATAATTCACAATTGTTGATGTTAATTGCTCTGATGCATCTCATTAATATAATTATATTTTACTTATATAAATAATAGCCGCAGGTCGTAGGTTCGAATCACGTGACAATAATTTTTCATCTCGACCAAAATGCTTAGATAAAAAAATAATTATTTAGAAAAATTATTATGGTTAATTATGACCGCTAAACAAATATGGATAAATAATAAATATCAACGAATTTATGGGATTTAAAAAAAAAAGTGGAACTAATATTTAAAAACAAATCACTTCAGATAGTAAACTTTCATTTTGCATCCATAAACGCTGCTTTTACGACAAGTTACGAAAAAATGAATGTTTATTAAATTAGAGCAATAAAATTATTTGTACGTGTTTCAACGATTAAATAGCTTTTTTATGTTGACATTGACACCGCTTAAAATTTAAAATGTTGTTCCAAAAAGACGTACTCACTTTTAGTTTTGTATGCTTTTCTGAAACGATTTCTCCAATATTCTTGTAATCCGTTTATCTCGGTGATCCGCGATGGTCTGACTCGGCCGGCAATTTCACTCGAACACGGAGAAAGAGGGTAAACAGAAAGAAAGTACGAAGGCGCTTCTTTGGAAACCGAGAGTAGGGCGATCCGGGCAGAACTGAACGAAAATGAGGTGGAAGACCAGCCTATAACGGCATGGGGAATAACGGTACAGAGAGCATACGTGCACCTCATCGCGCCGACCCGGCTCAGCAGCCCGATGACGTCTTTTGAAAGATGTGACCCGAAATCTTCCGGAGGGCTGTAGGTGAAGCATAGAAAAAGGAAACATAGTAAAACATTAGTTCTAAGTTTAAATCCTTTTTTTTTCTTTCTAAGCCTCTCTCCATCTCTTTCCCTGCCCCTTCGTACTTTCTAAGTCTCTTGACATCTCTCTTTTTTGTACTTTCCAAGCCCCTTTCTATCTCTCTCTTTTTGTGCTTTCTAAGTCTCTCTTTACCTAACTCTCTAATACCCTCTCTACCCCTATCTTTATGTTTCTTTATGCTATCCTAACTATCGTATTCTGCTTCTGTTTGTCTCTCTCTCTCACTCTCTCTCTCTCCCTCCCTCCCTCTCTCTCTCTCTCTCTCTCTCTCTCTCTCTCTGTCAACCAACCAACCAACTTATCTATCTATCTAAATACCTCTTTAATTCACCACCTCTCTTTTTTTATGTTTCTATTTTTCTTTTATGTCGTTTTCTTTTTCTCGCGCGTGCGTGCACACTCTATCTGTCTGTTTCACTCTTTCTCTCTCTCTCTCTCTCTCTCTCTTTCTCTCGCGCGTGCGCGCACACTCTGTCTGTCTGTCTCACTCTCTCTATCTCTCTCACTCTCTCTCTCCCTCCCTCTCTCTCTCTGTCAACCAACCAACTTATCTATCTAAATATCCACCTCTTTAATTCACCACCTCTCTTTTTGTATGTTTCTATATTTCTTTTATGTCGTTTGCTTTTTCTCGCGCGTGCGCGCACACAACCACTTCTCTGCCTGTTTGTTTGTTTGTCTGTCTGTCTGTCTGTCTGTCTATCTGTCTCTCTCTCTCTCTCTTTCTCTCTTTCTCTCTCTCTCTCTCTCTCTCTCTCTCTCTCTCTCCCTCTACCTGTCTACTTATGTTTTTTAAACTTTCTATTCATCTCTGTCTGTCAGCCCCTCACATGCATCTGTGTGTTTTTCTGCCTGACTGCATTTTTCTTTTTCTCTTGAGCTCTCTTCCTCTCTTCTCTCTCACTCTCTCTCTCTCTCACTCTGTCAACCAACCAACTTATCTATCTAAATATCCACCTCTTTAATTCACCACCTCACTTTTTGTATGTTTCTATATTTCTTTTATGTCGTTTGCTTTTTCTCGCGCGTGCGCGCACACAAACACTTCTCTGCCTGTCTGTTTGTTTGTCTGTGTGTCTGTCACTCTCTCTCACTCTCTCCCTTCCCCTCTATCTATCTATCGTTATCCACCCTTCTATATCTTTCATCCCTCACATGCGTCTGTGTCTGCTTTTCTGTCTTTCTATTTCTTTTTCTCTCGTCCTCTCTTCACTCTCTCTTTTTCTCTTTTCCTCCCTCTATTCTATTATCTTTAATCATTTTTCTATTCATCTGTTTCTGTCAGCCCCTCACATGAATCTGTGTCTGTTTTCTGTCAGTCTGTTTTTTCTCTTTCGTTCTCTCTCTCTCTTTCATTCTTTGTCCTATCCCCTCATAAATTAGAAGAAAGTTCTAACTTTGCGTAGTTAAATAAAACGATTAATCTCTCTCTCTTTCGTTTAAATCTTTGCCCATAAGAGTTAATATCTAGTATTTGTGCAACTTGCTTGTCAGCGTTATTGTATTTGGTTATTTATTCTAGCCCATTTAAAGTGGTGTAATGTATGTAGGTAACGTAAAGTAGGCATCGAGTCTGATATTTTCTCGAATATTTACTATTTATCGTGAGTGTCCATTTGTTAATTGCATCTTCTTGGTGGGTTTCGTAACAAGAAAGCGCCTTCGTTCAGCTCGTCCAAACCGACAAGGGGCAACCTCAAAGGTTACTAAAATAAGAGATTTTTCCTTAGGGTAATCTTATCGCCTATGTTCTGTCTTAACTTTTGTTCTGGTAAATGCTGTATTTGAAAATTCCATTGTCGATTTCTCATAGAACTCTCTTAAGGCAATGAAATCCACGCATTGACAACTTTTACTTATGCATTTAGAAAAAGACAAAAAATATAAACCCAACTGGGACTCGGAACCATTGATCGTGGGCTATATGATGTTTCCTTCACCACTACCACGTCAACCAGCTAGGTGAAAAATAGACAACTGCAGTATTTCAGTTGATCTCGTATCAACAAGCATGTAGATTTGATGCTGAAACATCGTGTGTTTAACGAACTCTGTACTTTTGGTCATTCTAACCTTAAAAAACTATTAACTTAAGATCAAATATAAGTAAAAGTCGGGTTTTGTATAACGATTTCTTAGCAAGAACGAAAAATGGAAAAAATAAACAATGTACACTCTTAGTTTTATTCGGTGGTACTGTTGAACATGACACGTTAGACTTAACACCACCGTTATCATTGTACCCTGAAAATAACAAAAGAAAAAGGATCATTCTAAATTTATGTTACACAATGATAACCAAAAAATAAATCGGTTATTTTTACTTATTTGATGTATCCTGTTAGAAAAGGGTTAAGTTTTTAGAGAATCTAATACTTTCATGACCTCGTCTCTCAATTTTGATGTCTTGTATACGATCGACTTGTCCGGAAACCAGACCTCCACGTCCTCCTCGATCTGCAGGACTCCTTTCCAACACTCTAGGACGTTGCTGAAAAAGAAAGGAATTATTAGAAAAACAATTGATTACTTGAGAAAATGGGACGGACAGGCAAGCGGCATAGATCGGGGCTGTATTTGGAAATAGCAGGTTGATAATGTAAATCCAAGGTAGGACGACTTCGTGTAAGAACTTGATCTGATCGACAGCGACCTTCTGAAGGTTCTCGTTTGTGTTCGGCATAATCGGCAGACCGCTCACGTTAATCATCGAGTCCTGGCACCCCTCCTGAAAAAAAGTTTAAAAGTTAGACGGTATATGTTCTCCAATCTGAGAGCATAGGTCAGTTGTGATATATTGATATTTGAAGGAGGTTGACCCGTAGTTTGGTTTGTTGCGGTCGGTGAAAAATAGTGATGATAGGACCGGAAATGACCAAATTACATATAATCTCATTAATGTCTGTTGACCGAACAGAAGTTTAATAATATTCTCTTGTTCAAATCATAAGAGGATCAAATTCACTGAATAACTATTATCTCAAGCAAAATATGTCTCTTAACAAAATGGCGACAATCGAAATTCTCACTATTTCATCAGATAGTTGACAGTAGAGTTTCATCAGTTCTGTGACAGACATGATAAACGGTTTTGTATGAAGGTAGTAAGTGGCCACGACCATAATCCCTCTTTTCATCCTTATTCTGAAAAAAGAATGAAATATGATAGATGTACGTGTTTGATTTTATGTTTAAACCTGTCGTCCGGGTGGTTCCACTTGAACAGTTTTTTGTCGAGACGGTTCACCAAATCTTTGCCGTCTTGTACGTAGTCTTTCTGGTAGCAGTATAGAAGCAGTTGGCTGATTTCGTTCATTTTTTCATTGTAAACTGGTTTGACAACAGGCGGGAGTACGCCAGTGTCCTGTAACAAATCTTGCATTGAAGGAAGAAAAGATTTAAAAAAAAAAAAATAATTACAACCTTGAAAATTATCTCCATATACTTAAGGGTTTCGTGGTATTTGAATTGCTTCCACTCTGAGTATTCTGGAAGGGCGTCGACTTGAGCAGAAGTAGCGATCATATTATTGTTATGCACACCGTGGCATAGAGCAGTCAACAACAGCTCCTCTTTCTATCGGATAAGATCGTTTTGATAAAAATTGACAGTAAAATGTTTAAGAACAAATTAAAACCTCGTCTAGGGTGAAGAGCGAAGGGTACTGGGACAAGACGAAAAACACTACGTGAAATAGTGAAAAACAATGATGGAAATTGTGAAAAATCCCATTGGGTGTCGCTTTTGCGGCCATCAAAAGGAGTTTTTTCGTGTTCACGGCTTCGATGTACGCTTTGCCCATGACGTGCAGCAACAACTCATGTGCGTAGAAACAAAGATTCATCGTCGGAATCGACTCATCAATAAGAAAACTGAATCTACAACCGTCATTTTTAAAATTTCAAGTCATTTTATGGATATAAAGACAGTTTACTTTTTCAGATCGTTGGGTATAGTCACATTGAGTTCGTGAAAGACTTGTAGGTCATGGATACAAGGCTCCATGTGATATTCCAACATCTTCTGCCTCACTTTCAATCTTGAGAGCTAAGGAAGTTGATCAGGATGAAATTCTTATTGTATTTTTTTTAAAGGTGCCATACCAGTCTCCTCATGTCTTCTTTAAGTGTGTAGCAGGAGAGAGTGGCATTGCAGAACAGTATGATGTTGTTCATTATATCGACGTCCGTCTTTGTGAATTTCTCACCGTCGATTTTGTTCAGAAGTTCGACGACACCTAGGAATCACTATTAGAAATGGCGTATAAATCTCATGAGTTTTATTACCGATAGCGCGCTTGTTGTACACGACCGGCATCGATAAGATGTTGCGACAAGGGATCGGTTTGAAAATCGACGTGTTGAACCTGTTCAGGACGAGTTCTTTGCGGCTGAGGTTAAGCGGTTTCCCAGTAATCGCTACTCTAGCAGCGACAGTTTTACTCGTGTTCAATCTGTTTTTATTAATCATTAAGACAATTGATCAAATTGATAAATGTGTTGACATACTTAAACCACTGTTTTCTCTGGTGTTTGTCAATTCCCGATTCGGCGTACATGTCCATCTCGAGATCTCCTCGGTCGTCCACGTGGGCTATCGTGTAGAAAGCGGAGCTCTGGGCACATAAAGCTATCCTTGCTGAAACCTGTTTGCAGAAAACTTCAAATTTTATCACTTTTTTTTGCAAGAGTTAAGTCTGATTAAGGATTCGCTAAAACAATGCACCAAAAAATCTATATTTAATCATGAAAATTGCTCTTGTTTTTGTTTCTTCTTCTGTAAGAATTACTAATCTCAATTAGAAATTTAAATGCGATTTTTTAAGACTTGCTTTGGTCTACTGACGCTGTTTTGGTCTATCACACGCGTTTTGGCTTTTGTCCATCTTCAGTTGTAGGTTTAGCAGGTGGTACATAACAGTGTATCACCCTGCTTATATCCCTGACTGATTGAATAAAGCGAAATGCCGAATATGTTTGACATACTAATCCAGCGAAGATAAACAGGCCAGGATGACTGGAAATGTACCAGTTGAAAAGTCATAAGTGCTTTGAAATAATACCTTAATGTTTAGCGATTCCAAAGATCTTTGAGATATTTTATATGCATTTAGACGTAATTTAGACGCATAGACTAAAACAGCTAAGATAAGACCAAAATGATCGGAAACGAACAAACAATTCAACTTGCTTAATGTATTTTTTTTAAATACTTCAATTTTAAATAGATCATTTTAATTTTCTGAACTTACCACAAGTTCCGAGAAAAACATATTCAGCTCAATAGGTTGGCAAAAATAAATTGAAATAAGCTGTTTAAGATAATCGTATAAAATCCTCTCTTTTTCAAAAAGCATGGAATCCTGGTTTTCTTGCACAGTGGCACCAATCCAGCCGACGAGATTTAGACAAGCTTCAACTTCCCTCTAAAAAAACACACCAGCTTGTTTATTTTCTGTTCTTTTTATCTAGAATTGTCTGTTTTAAACCTTAGAATACGGCTTGTCTTTCAGATCTCTCGAGAGCTCAATAACGGCGAACAATTCCAAACCAATTGGGGTGATGATCGGCGTGCACAATGCTGGTCCGTTTTCAGCTAAAAAACACAAGACCATATTTAGGTTAAAGTAATCTTAGGGCAAAGAAAATAACCTCTTTAGTAAATTGAAGATCAATCATTTGACATAAGCGGACACTTACTCGTCCAGCCCAATCCAAACGGAAAACGAGCATCACTCAAACAGTCTTCAGTGACAACATACTGCTTCGTGTATGCAACGTAGGCCGCAAGTGTCGTACCCGGTTCTGAAAATATTTAATTATATAATAAGCTGTGACTTTTTAGAGTGGGTTTATTAGTTCTTACGTATTTTGTAGTTCACCCTGTGAGACTGGGCGACTACGTGAGTTGAAAACTGGAAGATTTCGCCGTTCGCATCATCTTTCAAATAGAGTATCATATCTGCAAAAATTGATATTTATAAATTTGGTTCTCTCTCGATAAAGAATTTGATATGTACAAATTGTTCAATTTCAACAAATATTTTAAGCATTTTTAAGGATTTTTTGTCTCACAGGTAGGTCGAAAATTTAGCTGAGGATCTATTCCGTAATTTGTGAGATTTCCTCTCGAGTCTGTGGCTTGAAAAATCAGCTACTTCGTCTCTGGTCATTTTTAGTCTGTCTATCCTGCTTTGGCCTGTCAAATGTTTTTCGGCTTTTCGGTGGTGGATTTGTATCGGTGCCTCAACCTGCTTATACCCTGGCCTATACTACGGAAGATGGGAAGCAACTCCATGACTGTTTTGAAAATAAACATATTCGACAAAAGTCTTAGAGAAAAAGATCGATAAAAACTACTAAAATTTTTATCCTACTTATCACAGTTACTTCTGGTGATAACTTGGTAACATTATTGAGCATTTGGCAATGAATCTATCAGCATACATAATAAAAAAACCTGGTCAGATTTTTGGACTTTGTGGAACTGATCTACGGTGCAAATATTGTCAAATTCATGGCGAGAAAACCGCCATCGGGGCAGTGTCATATGTATGTAAAAGGGGTGGAAACACATTTTGTCTATCTCACTAATTATCAACAGAATTTGGGGGAAACTTGGTCAGATTATGGAACTTTATGGAGTTGATCTACCAGTGGTCCAAACATTGTTAAAATCGTGATGAGCAAACCACCTACGGGGCAGGGTCATTTATGGTACGTGCAAGGAGTAGATACATATTTTGACTAATATATCGCTATTAATCAGCAGAATGTGGTAAAATATATAAAATCATGGCGAGTAGACCACCATGGGAGCAGTGTCATTGGTAAGTGAAAGGGGTAGAAACACATTTTTTATATTGCTTTTTTAACCATCCCTAACCATTTATATTGCTAAGATATTTATCATAAAAATTTGGTGAAAACACGTTAAATTTTTGAAATTGGTGGAGTTAATTTAACAATGGTCCAAGTAGTTTCAAATTGTAGTGGGCAAACCCATCGGAGCAGTGACATCTATTGGTAAGTGAAAGGGTAGAAACACATTTTATCTAATATCTCGCTATTTATTAACAGAATCTGGGAAAAACTTAGTCAGATTTTTGAACTTTGTGGAGCTGATCTACGGTGCAAATATTGTCAAAATCAAGGTAAGAAAACCGCCATCGGGGCAGTGTCATTTCGTATGTGAAAGGGTAGAAACACATTTTATCACTATTTCGCTATTTATCTTTATTTATAAGGAAAACTTGGTCAAATTTTTGAACTTTGTGGAACTGATCTACGACCTACGTAGATCTACGATCTAATATTGTTAAAATCGTGGTGACTAAACAACCATCGGGGCTCTCTTTGTGCAAATGAAAGAAGTGGAAACATATTTTGTCTAATATCTCGCGATTTGTGAACAGAATCTGGCAAAAAAGTTGGCACAATTATTGAATGTTTAGGACATGTTCTATCATCAAAATTGTCATTATTTTGGTATGGAACATCATTAGGACTTAGCAATGAATTGGTTATGTGAAGAGCCGCTGTATGCATTTTCCTTTAAAACATCCATCGAAATAATAAACTTTAAAATAATAAATAACTCCTTTCATCTTTCTCGATGAACGTATAAAACGGAAAAAATCACCCAAAACCACCACTGAAAAGCGGAAACGCAGACCAAAACGTCAAAAAACACGACCAAGGTACAGATGGTGCAATTAAAGTTCTGCAGAAGCAGAAAATGATCATCAACTTCTGCTGTTTGTTAACGATGTGAGCAGTTAAAAAAAAAAAAAAACACCGGCCAATTCAAGTAGAATGTTTATGCTATTTTTGTACTATCAAGTTGATTGCAAATATTGTAATGTTTTAGATTGAATGTATTCATTGTTTGAAAATAATTGCAGTGGAGGAAAATTAATTATCCTTAGAACACATGTTGGTATTTATAATTCAAAATTGAAATTTCGTTTAGACCGCGTTTAGCGCATCAAAATTGGATGTTACTTCGCAGCGAAGACTTATGAAAGCTACTAAAGACAGCATAACTCACTTTCGGACTTCGTGCACTTCTTCAACGTCAGGGCGGAGTCGAGGAGGAGCATCGGGAGGTCGAAAGTCGTTTTAAGATGCGAAGAAATGTTTGGAATGTTGAAAGAAGGCCTTGTTAATCTGATGGTCCTAAAAGACTTCTTGCCCTTAGTTGTGATGTTTTTAGGACCGGCGGACTGGGATCGTAGGTAAATGAAAGGGGCGATGATACGGGCGGCCGCCTGCACTTCCATTTTTGAAATACGTTTCGGCTTTTTGAACTGGGTACTTCGCATTTTCTTATAGAAGTCTGAGATTCTGAAGCTGGGTTCCAGTTTCTTCGACGAGTGGACAGGTCTCACGTTGGACGAGTCGCCCGAGGTTCGCGAAGACGAGATCCTTTGAGACATATCGCTCGACCATTTTGGCATTTTTACCTTTTCTTTCTTATTCTCTAGTCTTCTATTTGCGAAGAACCATCAATTTCTTGATTAGAAGAATAGTTAATTTTTTCCCTTTTATTTCGTTATTCACTTTTCTGCTCTAGCTACAAATTGAACCGATCTTAGAAAAATAAAACTGAAGGTATATTTTTGGTACAAAAATTAAAAATAAAATTAGTATAACAGAAAAATCAACAATTCAATATGTGTAAAATTATCCACATGTTTAAAAATACATAAATTTTGAATACCAATTACTTCTCATTTTTTTCTACCATTTAACCAACTTTATTGTTCACACAGTTATAGTTTAGTATACAACTATTAGTATCTAAAACTGCACAACAAAAACTGTCTTTTATTGTTTAATCAATTAATTTAATTCAACAACTATATGACATTTTACATTAAAAAAATCTCTTTTACTTAAATCTATCCTTCTCTTACTTCATAATGTAATACCTTATTAAGTAGAAGAAAAATTATCTTTGGTGTATTCAATTCGATCAATTGCTCTCCTTTAATCACCACTTTAATCCCTCCATTTCTACCCTCCTATACTCTCCTATTGTCCGTTCCCTGCTAGAATACTGCTCCTTAATCTGGTTCCCACAGTACAATACCTATATTAAATTTTTAGAACAAATTCAGCAGAAATTCCTTAAGCGGATAGGCTGCAGGAAAATGGGTATATCCTCATTGAAATCCTGCAACAGCAACTAAGTTTAATTTCGCTTAAATCTCGACTACACTCAAAGCTCTATTTTTGTATAAATTTCTTAACAAGAGATACTCCCCTGAGAGTTAATAACTAATAAATTTCCATGTACCCACTAACTGTACCTGATACTTCTCACTCTTCTCCACTCCTTCGGCTACGACCACCTACCTGTACAATTCTCCTATCAACAGACTTGGAAATCAAATTAATAATAATCCATATATGTATATAGAAGTCATAATTGACCATATTAATTAATTAAATTAATTATACTTTTTATCCAAGGTTTTGGTTGAGATGAAAAAGCTTGTGTCACAAGTGGTTTCGAAGCCACGATCTCCGGCTCAATAAACCGCTGATCAAACCACTTGAGCTGAAGTCATAATGACCTTAGATAAAAAGTATAATTAATTTAATTAATAATGGACTTTTTTTAACAACTCTTTTTCACAGATCAAAAATTCTTTAAAACCTATCCTCTAGTCACTCACTACATTCACTTGTAGTTTTGGATACATCGTTAAAACTGAAACAATTTATTATAGATGAATAATTTGAACACCACATAAGTCTTGAGTTGTAACAATGCTCTCCTTTATTTTTAGTATTGTTTTATTCATTTATTTATTTTTTCAGTCAGCAGTACTAAAGTTTAATATGTGTTATGTTTTCGTTTTTTATATCTTCTTTGCCTTTTACTGAAATTCTTCTTCTTTTATATTGTATTATTAATATTAGTTTTTATTATAGTTAATTTTTGTATTAATAGAGCTCACATTTGTAGGATATTTGTATTTCTTCTTTAGAAATTGTTACATGCCAAAGCTTGTTGGTATGATCCATTTTAATTTGTTTCTGCTTTCCTTTTTCTACCCCTTTGGTTTCTGTTTTGGCCTTGGTTAATTTGAAGATTTTGCTCATTTGGCCTAATTTTCTGGCTGGTCAACACTTCCTGGCAAATTTGAGGAAGTTACGTTACAAAATTATACTATAAGTAAATCGAATATATAGTTCCTCCTATTCCCATTGAGATATATATGACACCTTGGACTGTACCTCGACAAACAACTTATGTGAACTCCCCATACAAGACTAATGCAAAAATTTAAATACAAGATTTTTTCTGCTAAAAAGATTACTTGTCAGGAAAAAAACCTATGTACTACCTTGCCAGCATACGGACATACAGACCTAAACAGTTCCACCAACTTTACCATTAAGTGTTTCAATCTTAAAAGGCTCCAAACTTCCAATGCTTCCTTTTATCTTGAACCATATAAGTTATTCCAACTTAAAATTGCACAATTCCATTATAAAAGATTCAATTCTAAATTATCCTATCACCAGACCCCTTAACGCATGAATTGTCATCCATAATGCTGTTCACCAATTTTCATTGGAAATTGTAGTTATGTTAGGCATGTGACTTCTTTTGTCTATGGTCAGCCAGGGATAGTTCCTAGTGAGCTTACCTCGTTGGTGAACTACTGACCATCACTGGATGGTTGCCGTTCATGCTTGTTGCATACTTTTTTTTACTTATGAACTTGCATATTAACCAGACTACATACATATTGTTTCATCATTTAAATAAAGTTGGGTGGAAGGGTAGCATGATAAAAAGGGCCAGGGATGACAGTGGAATTGAACCCACGACTGAGGGGTTTATGAACCTAGAGTCTATTGCACTAACCACTCGGCTACCGAAGTTTTCCAAATAAATACATGAAAAAAACATGTTTCCAGTTACTTTTTTTTATTAGTTAGTTGATATGTGGCATTTTTATGTTGCCATTTAAGTTCAGAATAATTCTTAATTGGAACTCATTTCATTTTTAAAATTAACTTCCATGATATCTGTAAAGTTGGTTGGATGTAAATCCAACTAAAAAGATCCAATTTAAAAAAATCCAACCAAAAAATACACACTACAGCAAAACAAAAGAACATTTAAAAGACAAAAATTTTAAGAGAGGTGCAATAACAATTTTTAAAAATAAAAATTTAATGTTTTATTTTCAAACATACGTATAAAATACATGGAATCTTCATGCAACTCTTCCTGGTATGTACAAATAAAAATATATCTTTAAAAATGATTATCACAAGTTTTTAAAATAAACTGTATATGCAATGAGGGTTTAATTGTCTACCAGGATTTTGCAATTTAACAATAAATATTTTACACTATACACACATTTTAATGGATAAAACAAAATTTAAAATTTAAAATTACTATTTCAAAATAAAATTTAAATAAAAGTTATCACATTTAAATGTACAAAAACTATTTCCAAAAAACATGATCTAAAATGTTGGGAAGCAAAACTGTAAATTATATACAGCTATCAAATGTACATATGTTTGTTGCTACAAAATGTAGAATGTCATTTATTGTGATGACGTATCTGAGTCAGCTTTCTTTAAACCGTTGGGCATTCGTTGATAATGCGGTTTCAAAGAACTGCCAGGTCGACTGTAGTCCAGGTGGTCGTATACCTCTTCTACACAAAAATAAATAAATATAACATATAAAATAAAATAAAAAAGTAGTTTACATATAAGTTCTGACAATTATTACCTGGAGGTACTTTAGAACCTTTAAGTTCTTCATAAAAGTGTTCATTTTTCAAGTCTTCTAAGCTGTTGTACATATTGGGATTTCCTAAATCGGCATCCCGGTTTTTCATCGATAATGTACTTGTTGTACCTAGTTAAAAAAATATTTGTATTGAAATAAATTAATTTTCAAACAATTATAATTTTTTAAACCACCTCTGCAAGAAAATTCATCATCATCGTCATCAACAGAAAGCCCAAATCTTTCTTTCTCGAGATTTGAACTCTTCAAGTTATTTTTAATCATTTTATTGTTTAGTGGACTTGCTGCATCATCTTTCTGAGTGGGTCCGATTGAATATACCGGATTGTCAAAATGATGTCCACCTGTAAATACAAAAATGTCAAGTATTGTGCAATATTTCATTTTATTTGATATTTACCTCCTTCGGGGTCTGCAATGTACTGAACATTGGCTATTTCAGTTTTTAAGTTGCTCACTCTTCTTCGATAATATATTATAATAAAGACAATAGATATGACGAGTATAATTGCGACAAATGTCCCTCCGACTACACTTCCGGGGCTAGATTCGCTCACTTCTAAGACACTCCTTTCAGATAAAACAATGTCACAATCTTCACCTATAATAAAAACATCAAAATTTTAATTTTTTATTAGAAACGGGTGAGAATGTTGGAGAAATTCTTACCTCCAAAACCTCGTTTACACACACAACCGTCTGCTGCGTGGCAAACGAATGAGAGTGACTTGCACAAACAAGGCTGCATGCAGTGTTCACCATAAGATCCTTCTGGGCAAACTGTTACAAATAAATTAATTACAGGTTGTTACTTATAATTTTTTTTAAATATCTCATGATATCTAAATAATCGTTATTTTGAAACTTACTTTCAGTACACTGAGGCCCCATCCATCCTGCCTTACATTTACAAACTCCATCATTGATTCGACACTTGCCACCGTTCTGACATTTGCAATGTCTTGTACAGTTGATACCAAACATTCCTTCAGGGCAATGCTGGTTGCAAGAGGGCCCTATCCATCCTGGTAGGCACTCGCAGATACCTATAGAGTCAACAATAAGTAACAAGCTTCCAGTAATTACGCTTCGATCTCACCGGTTACATGATGGCAGTCGGCCCTGTTTTTGCAATTGCAAGTCTTAAGGCAGCCTTTGCCGTATTTCCCGATCGGACAGGGATGCTGGCACATCGAACCTGTGTAGCCGGGCCTACATGTGAACTCGCCTGTTACATGATCACATGTCCGGTTTTCTGAAAGCATTTGAGCCACTAAAGAAAAGAATGGAAACTCATGAGAATTCGCATCTCAACATCAGGAAAGAAATTTAAAAAAGGCATTATACAACTAATAAAGTTAAAAAATAAGCATCAGTTATATGGAAATTATACAATTTAAATATTGATTAATTTGCTTAATTTGAAACTTTACCTTAATTTTAGTTTAAAACAATACTAAAGATTTATTGGAGAATTTATTATGGTAATATTAACATATACCAAATATTTTCATGCAAAATATTGAAATCAAAATTGATTAAATTTGGTGCAGTGGTTAAAATTTTATTTATGCAACAGACAATGATTATTTAAAGTGGTAGGGCAGATTTTCTTTTGAAAAATCAATGCAATTAAAAAAAATCATAACTGCATTCAATAAATATATAAAAATATGTTTGCGAAACAATTTTACTGATTTGTTCATTTTGTTATGTATACTATATAAAGATAAAAACACATTTATCTAACAGGCTTTTTTTATGTAGACAAGTATATTGCAAGTTGCATCTTATTAAAATTATAAGCACATTTAAAGAAATGTTAAAGCTGTACTATACGTGCAAAGTGTGGATTAGAAATCTAACGAGATCTTGGTGAACTTTATGAGCAACAAATTCCTACAGACTTTTCTATTTTTGCTTTATTGTACAGTGGCAGTGGACTGTTTTTACAAGTCGATGAGAAAACTCAAATAGTCTTCACAGTAGAGTACAAATTACAAAACAAAAATTATTTGTATGCCAAGGTGAGATAACTCAAAATTGCTTAAAAATTGGCATAGACAGTTTAGCAGTTGATGGTCGCAGTGGTTGAGTGGGTAGTGAGTCATTCTCTCTGCTAGTTACAGACCCCGTGGTTTTAATTTCCACCGATGGCCTGAAATCTCTGACCTCTTCCTCCCAACGTCTTTTGTAAAAGTTATTACATTCTTTGGTTAACATAGAAAAATAAAGCCATTTATAAAAAAAAAAAGTTTAGAAGCTGCTAAACTCAAGCAAACTATCTAATCTCTGGTTATAATGCTAAGCTAGTTATTTTTGCAATCACATGCCACTGCCAGATATAAATTATGGCTGGAGTTGGCTGTTAAATCAAAATTACAATTTGACAGCTCATCTAGTTCAGCCGAGATGTTAGAAAACGAAACAAGTTTTGCTTTGACACACAAAATTAGTACCTTGTTTTGCAATTTGTGTAGTTACATTAGTATGCCTAGTCCTTCCTGATTTTCAGCAGTGAAAAAAAAAAGAAAAAAAAGTTAATATCAGGGTACTCACAAGCAATTACATCGCTAGTGTTGTAAGCATTAAATAAAACATATAAATGATTGGATATTGAATTTCATATAAGAAAATAAATAAATAAATAAAATCTCATGGTAATTTTTACAAAAATTCTTTTAAAATGAATTTTTTTAAAGAGTAATGTACCAGGCTTAAACCTTGTAAGCAAATGTACCTTAAAAAATACAAAAAGTTTAGGAGGACAATTATTATTAACGAAGAAATGTGGTTTTATGAACAAATGAAAACAAACAAAGCCAACAAAATCTGTACAAGTTCATGTTAAACATTAAAAGGCAACTAATAACTGAAACTTACGATGTCCCACTGTTGGGCAACGTTGCTTGCACCCTGCACCATACGATCCTGCCGTACAAGGTAGTTCACAGAGTTCACCCGACCAACCTGACTCGCATCCACATTTCCCTGACAACTGCTCGCAAGAACCGTTGTTGAGGCAGCTGCATTTTTTGTCGCAATTCTCTCCGTAGAAGCCTTCATTGCATTTTGTGTCGCACAGGACACCTTTCCATCCGTGTTTGCAGATGCAAGTTCCACTGACAGGATCGCATTTAGCGGTGTTGTCTTTATCACAGTCGCATGAGTTGATACAGTTTCTGCCAAAGAACCATTCCGGGCAGACTTGGTCACATTGCTCACCGGTGAACCCAGGCCCACAAAGGCAATTGCCTATTAACAATAAAAATTACAATTGAAGAAATGTCGGTGGGAAGTTTTAGAAACCAGTTTACCATTTCGAGGGTCACATGAGCCATCGTTTTTGCACTGACAAGTGCTTGTGCAATTCTGACCATAATAATGTTCTTCACATGGTCGGTCACATTGTTGACCTTTCCAACCTAAAAGAGAAATGAATAAATTTAAATTTTTATAGTTAAAAAGTGAACTAAAAGCATGTTTTATTATTTGGACAAGTACTTAAAACATTTTGGTAGGAAATTGGAAAACAAAGAAAATAATTATCTAAGTATATGATGTTTTTTTTTAAACAATAGAATTAAATAGCATTTAACAAAAAAGGCAAATTTTTGCTCAATTATGCCTACAACTAACATTAAAGTGTGTTCAAGCCATCATTATAATTTGTCCTTAACATTATACCTGGTGCGCAATGGCAAATTCCATTTTCTGGATCACATTTCGCTCCGTTTTTGCAAAGGCATTTTTGTGCACAGTCTTCTCCAAAGTAGCCATTGGGGCATCGCTCACTACAATTCGCCCCCAAGAAACCTTCAAAAGAATATCACCACTCAGTTTTAAAAATCAAATTCCTAATATTCAATAAATTTCTGGTTGTTTCATTTACCTGGTCCACAAATGCATGTGCCATTGTTAGGGAGGCATTGAGCGTTATTGAAACATACACAAACATTTCGACATCCTTTTCCGAAAGTGTAGATAGGGCAGGGCCGAGAGCAAGATATACCATCCCACCCCTCTTTGCAGGAACATCGCCCAGTCCAAGGATGGCACCTAATTTTTTTTAATAATCAGTAAAAAATTAGCTAAATCTAATCAATGAGATAATTACATTTCTGTGTTATCATCCTCGCAGTCGCAAGTTTCAGTACAGTTCTCTCCGTATCTGTCATAAGGACAAGCCCTTTCAGAGCAGTCTTTTCCTTTCCAACCGGGCTGACATTCACATTCTCCTGTGACTGATGAGCATTTACCTTCATTTTCACAGTTACAAGTTCCTGTACAATTTACTCCAAAAGTATTTGGTGGGCATCTTTCTAAACACTAAAATTTAAAATTTTAAAAATTAAGTGAAATCTCGTTCAAAAATCAGTACAAATTCATTCTACCTTTTCGCCTTTAAAACCTGGTGGACAAATGCACCTGCCTGATAGATGGTCACAAGAAGCATCATTAAAGCAGTCACATTCTTCCGCACAACTTTTCCCCCAAAGTTTTGGAGGACAACGATTTCCACAAACAGGTCCCTTTTGTTAAAAAAAAAAATTCAAAGATTGAAGTGTATTATAAAATAATAACTGTAATGAACTTACAGTCCATCCTGGTGGACATGTACACTCTCCTGTCGCTGGATCACACGAGCCCCCATTTTGACACTTGCATTCACTTTTGCATTCCATTCCATGTTTCCCTTCTGGGCAAAGCTTTTCACAACTTAAAAATACATATAAATTAATATAATTACCGCAAAATGGGTCTTTTTCTCTGAATAAGGTACTTACAATCCTCCTGTGAATCCTGGCTGACACCTGCATTCACCAGATATGTGATTGCACTTCCCTTCATTTTGACACTTGCACACCTCAGCGCAGTCCATTCCATAACGTCCTTGGGGACAGGGCTCGTCGCAGTGTTCTCCTAACCAGCCCCTTTTGCACTCACATTTCCCAGAGAAGGGATCACATGTGGAATTGTTCTGACAGAGGCATTTCTTCTGACAGTCTGGTCCCCATCGTCCATGAGGGCAATCTGTTTATTTTTAATTTTTTTAAAGTTAATTTCAAAAATATGTTGAATGTCTAAGTTCAATAAATTATTTAAATCTTATAGAACTGAGAGAAAAATTAATAATATCTATGTGGTGTTTAATGACTGTTAATGGTTATTTTGATGATCTTCAGATGCGGTATGGTGTGACATAGATTTTAGAAAAACATTTTCACCAACATTGGCTCGATAAAAAAAAAGTTTTTCTAAAACCTACGTCACACCAGATCGCATCTCATGATCTCCAAATAATCATTAATAATATTTTCAAAATCCATATCATTTTGAAACATGATTTTTATTGACAAGCCTTCCATAAGTCTTAATTGAAGGAAAATATATTTTTGATTATTGAAACAAATGTAAAAAAAAATATTAAGTCTAACTTTAATATAATCACAAAAAAAAAAACAGACTGTTTTATTATGTCATTTCTCATATTCATACCATCTAATAAAAATAATGCTTGACCATGAGTTTTTAAGATTCATTCATTCAGAGGGAAATCCTAAATTTTTTTGAGTAAATATCCTACATGGATGAATGTATTTATTAGCATGAATTTAGTGTTTATAAAGGAATTTAGGGTACCTATTGACTCTTACTCAGTTTATTTAATGGTTTGTGTAGGATATCAAGTGCTGTAATGAGTGCTTGCATTGAAGGTTGGCATTATAACTAGATCTTAATATCAGACCCAAGCTGCTATTGTGCATTAAGTGCTGGCGTGGTCTACATCTTGGTATTCTTGGAGTCTAGCCTCGGTGCATTAAGAGCTAATATTGCTTATATATTAAATTCTCCCAGAGCCTAGCTTTAGCACATAGGATGCTGATATGACATAAGAAGGCATAAAGGCTGATATGGCCTATATGATAAATTCTTTCAGAGTCTAGCTTTGGCATGTCAGGCCTACTGTTGAGTCTAGTGTTGGTGCAAAAGACATTTTAAGATGTCCATGAAAACATTGTTTTATAAATTGGCGACTAATTGATCAAGTGGTAAAATTCTGAGTTGATTGTGCCATGTAATCAATACGATTGGGTATTACATGTGCATACTTATAAGTGCTTGCAGCGAAATACTAATTTAGTCGGGAAGAATAAACTATTACTTACTTCTCTCTTTTCCAAGAAGCAGAGGCAAATTTTTAATTGATTATTGGTGTTATTTTGAACTTTACAAAGCACGTTGGATACTTACTGATTGAACATTGGGGTCCACCATAGCCGGATTCACACTTGCAGTCATCCGGTGCAATGCAGATGCCGTGGAGACACTCTTCCGTGCAAATCGGTTTACACCTCTTGTCAGAAGTCTCTGCGTAGCCGGCACAGCATTCGTCCACAAGCCTCGTCTTGGTGATGACCTGGAAAGACATGGGTTATTTTAATTTTCTGTTTTTTGCAAATGTAAAGGATCTTCTTACCTCATCTCTGACGATGGTATCGAAACGAATTGTGTATTTAGAGCATCTCGGTGGAAGCTTAAGGCAAAAAGTGTACTCTTTTTGTTGAACGGGCTTCCTCTCGGTCACTTTGACAGTTATGTTGTAAGGCTCCTGCTTGGAGCATACATTTGGACCTTCGAGCCCGTTTGAAGGAAAGAACGAGATCGTTAATAATAAAAATAATACTTCTATCAGTCTCATATTGAAGGACTTAGATTGTTCTCCTTGGATCTACAGTCAGCTACCGCTTTTTCACATTTAAGAAGCGTGGGCAATTCTTCATCCACATTTCAGACCTGGAAAAAAAATAAGCAAGATAGATATTTAGAAAGAAAGTGAAGAAATCAACAGAAATACGTGTAAATTTTGCTAGAATTACCATTGTACTGAATATAAATTTTTGGATCGAGACGAATTGATTAATAGATTTTATACGACCCCGTGAAGAATAATGGACGATCATGAGCACCGGCCATGGAAGTGATTCGCTTAAATTGGATTAGGTAAAACGCTTTCTTTAAAGAAACCAAGGCTCGCTTTTTTCGTCTTGTATAACCCCCCCCCCCTAAAAAGACCCGATTAAAAATCACGGTCAAACTTGAATTACTACCAAAGAACTTAATGGTCAATATTCATGAATGAATTGCACACCCACGTGGTTCTCGTAGTGCAATTATACACGCTTCCATGAATCAGGCTAATGATTCATAATCCGCTCCGCCTTAAATCTTTTCTAAAGGGATGGGTTTTCTTTCTATTCCGGCCGATCCATCAGCTTTTTGAAGAAAAAATGATCAATGTGAATTTTAAGATGAAACCTCTAGGTTTAAAAACTGCATGCGTTAGGGGCTGAAATGACCTAGCTGTTAACAGCCCCTGGAGCCTAAATTTCGACCGCGGGATGAATAAAACCGAGGTCTGACCCTGGACTTACAAAAAACGAAGTGCCGCAAGAAGTCATACGCTCAATTAATATATGGGTTTGTGCAGAATTGCAATATTGAAAATTACGAAGTATTACATATTTGAAATGTTTTTCCTATCTTTTCTGGGTCTAACAGACCAAAATGATCTGCAATGACCAAACTTCAATTGTGATTGCAAAGCTTTGGCCGAAAGGCGAATTTGACACCTAAAGAAACAAGTGAAAAAGGAACCGGAAAGTGACTGCCTAGGGTCGTGCACTTTCCTAGGCTTGGAAGGACTGGTCTCCAGGACCCCGGTAAAAAAAAAGTTGGGGTTCATCCTCTCGCAGACAACACGGAGAAATCTTAGAATATTACTTTTTTTATCATAACACTAATATAGCAAGAAAACGACAGAAGTATCGTGAAATACATGCTGCTATTAATCATTAAGGGCATCATCACAAAAACAGATTAGGGGTGCAAAACTCAACCGTTGAGGGCAGACGTGTGCAAAGGAACAGCCTGGTACGATGTGACCTCCTTCTGGCAAAAAAAAAACACTGGAGGTCTCTCAAAGTACACAAATAGTATTGCAGATTGGAAAGATGGTAAAATGTAGGAACTAGCAATCAGAAGCCACTTGATAGAACACTCAATAGACGTCTCAAGAAGCACAAGAAATATGAATGATTGAAGTTACGGTTAGACCTAAGGTCGTGCACTTTTCGAGGCTTGGAAATAAAGAAGGTTCAATTCCACAATAGACCTTTTAGGAAAGGAGACTGGTCACCAGGACCCCGGGAAAAAATTCAGGTCCATCACCTCTCATACAACACGGAGAAATCTCACAATATTACATATTTTTTCGTCAAAATATAGTACTTCTCCCAATATAGCAAGAAAACGACAGAAGCACGTAGCAAAATATGTGCATTCAATAAACAATAAGGATCATAATCGCCAAACTCGACCATTGAGGGCAGATGGCTTTGTGTACAAAGGAACAGCCATTCTGGTACGATATGACCTCCTTCCGGCAAAAAACAACCACTGGAGGTCTCTCAAAGTACACAAATAGTATTGCAGATTGGAAAGATGTTAAAATGCACAAGCAGGAACTAACACAAGCCACTTGATTGAACACACAATGGACGTCTCAAGAAGCACAAGAAATACGAGTGGTTAACTTCAACCACCAACAGTCAGACTTAAGGTCGTGCACTTTTCGAGGCTTGGAAGTAAAGAAGGTTCAATTCCACAGAATTCATTAAACAATAAGGAACATAATTGCCAAAAGAGATTAGGGAATTTCAAAACACGACCGCTGAGGGCAGATGGTGTTGTGTGCAAAGGAAGAGCCATCCTAGCAGAACACCACTTTCTTCTAGCAAAGAAGAAGCACTGGAATTCTCTCAATGTGCCCAAATCTTCTTGCAGATTGCAAAGTTAATGTTAAAATGATAAGACAATTGATAGGACACTCAACGGACGTCTCAAGAAGCACAAGAAATATGAGTGGTAAAAGTCAAATTTACAAAACTTAAGAAATCTTATGAAGTTATCTTACTGGATGAGGAAAGTAAAAAGTCACATCAGTATGAACGAAAATGTCTGGGAAAAGGGGGTAAAACAGCTTGCACGTAATTACTTTGCGATCCAGGCTGAAGTTAGACCATACTCGTAACACTTTTGTCGTACGTGAATAAAGGGATTGGAGCCGTGTTTTACTTTTCAATGAAGAACCACTATAATAATTTATAGTCATAGCAATAATTTTAAAGCAGGAGGTTTTGTTAGATAGAAAAATGATTTTGAAATGTAGGAATGTTTGTTTTCCCCCTTTTAAATGCGGTCGAGGTCGATTCAAAATTATAAATGAAATTAATATACTAATTTTATAGGTTTTCTTTGATATGTCGCAGATGGTGAAAACTTACCACTTTTATTAGATTTTTTTACATACAGAAATTATTGTCCCAATCCTGATGACTTAGGTGATGCACTGATAGTGTTTCTTTTGTATCAAGTAATATCGATTTTTGCAACATTATTTTAAAAAAATCTCGCTGATGACAGAATTTCGTGCGTTCCTTTATAATACAAAATATTTCCGATTGAGTTTATCGCAGATTCGTTTTAACGATAAAATAAATCGATGTCATCCGCGAGTCCATGATGGGGGTCAAAATGTTTGTAGACCGTTCCTGAACCGTTGACAAGGTCAAGAGTATTTATTTATTAATGGACTGGCACGACCAGAAATAGGAGAATTATCAATACCATTTCGATATCACAAAATGCTAGGAAAAATTAATCGATAAATTAATCAGTGGCTAGTCTACCAATTGCTTGGAGTTTTAGCTCTTACAATCCCTCTTGAAGATAATTTTTAAATAATGTCAAATCTTTAAAAGCAACTAATTATTATCGCGAAATTATTTGTGATAGTCTGTGCACAACAAGAAAAGAATAAAAGTGTAAGTTGTGAGATTTCTTATTGAGGACTGAGGATGGACTTATAGTGTGGTCGTTTTCGAGCTTACTTTTGGTATGTCATCGTTATTGAATATGTCATGACAAAGCAACGAGTTTAGGTCGAGCGAACTAAAAATATATGCTCTCTTAAATTAAGCTTTCCTTTACTGGCTGAATAGCACAACTTGTTTATCATTAATTCGTATTCCAATTTTTTAAACGAATTCCAGAGTCGAAGAAGGCCGTGCTGATGCATAAAAATCCCCCGTAGATGTTGATGCATAACTAGGCAGGAAAAGGAAAATTGAGTTCGAAGCTGAGGCCTTGGCAGGCTTGTAATAATGGATCGAGAAACGTTAATCAACTCCACACGGGATGTCTGTCATAACACAATTTATCCTAATGACCCGCTATCGGGTATTCACGGATCGCCAGGCTAATAAATATAATCCCGAGACATTTTAAAATTTCTGGGCGAAACAGAAAGGGCGTATGGACACTACAACGAGACTGAAAATTCAACTCAGGACAAATAATATTAAATCAGGCGTCAGTTCATAGAATACAAACCGAATTATTTTTATTATAAAACAGACAATTCTTGAAGAATTTAAGCGTGCCGATAGGAAATAAAAATCTTCTTCGGTTGGCGAAAACATTTCAGCGAAAGTTATTTTTGATCTGACTATTTAAAGGCTTAGGTCATCGCCCAGATTGACATTGAATCCAAATAAACTTATCTTAAAAATAAATTAATAAATATACAAAACAACACCCTTAAAAAAGAAAGATTCTTTATATATAGGAAAGCAGTTAAAATGTTATATATAGTAAAACCATAAGGATTAATATAAGGATAAAAGGGGTAGCCACAAGGACTTCTGGACCTCATCCTGAGTGGATCTATTGTTCTCATTTATTTTTATAACTCGCTAGCCGGTTTCAGGTTGTCAATCAACCTCCATAGCCTTGCCAGTGATTCCTTACTGTAGGATCTTACTTGTGGCTATTCAATCTGCACTACCAAAAACAAAACTCCGTGCCTCCTCCTCTTCCTGGCAGCTTCCCTTAGTGGTTTTCTGTCTGATCTATCCTGCGTATGTGCCTTCTTGGGGGACAATGCCTTGACAGAGTCCAAGCAGAATCCTGGTTCTGTTTCGATTATATACAATAATTTCTTTGTAAGTCTTGCGGCGAAGTACTTTGCCGAAGGGTTCAGCGAGGATCTAAGACGACTCTGACAGAGTCCCTCGAATGCGTGAGGAATGGTGGGCGGGTGTTTTTCGGTGGTGGCTTTACTGGGCTGCCTTTACTGAAGGCATGTTCTCCTCTAGGGGGTGGTTAGAGATTCCACTTAAATCGAAACCACGGCCGGAGCGCATCCGGAGGTTTCGACGGTGTCGGAGCCCCTACACCCAGGGAGATGTCTTCTCTATCTAGGGAGTGGGAGACTTGGTCGATGCATTCGACCACTTTTTGGGTATCCCTTTACGCGCGGCACATGGTTGAGTGTACATGTTAACCCACCCCTTCGGAAAGGGCAAGCGGGAGAAGTCAGCATGTCTGTTTGATTAGTCTGTAGATTTGCGTGCTTCTACACCGAACCTCACGGAATAAGGAGATTTTCCGTCGCTTCTAACTTGAGAATCTAAACGTGAGATAAGGTCTATGTGCCAGGTGCGCACGCTAACAACCTCAATGTTAAACGACTTGCGATCTCAGTGGGAAACATACATGTAAGTCTTAAGGATGGCATGATGGCTCTCTTCGCGTGCCTCATATCTGAGGTATTGTTCCACCAGGTTTTGGGCTCATCAAAGATCCATTTTTTTGTCTCAAGGTACTAGGCCACAGTAGGGTTCGGTGCCTAGAAAATTCATATTCGCTATTCTGGACAACCTGTTCACTTTTTC